GTCTTGTAAGCTCTAAAACCTTTTTCTCACTTGCATAGAACTGGGATTCAAAGGTATCTCTCTCCTCTTTGAGTTGAATCCAAGATCTTTGCAATTCCTCGAGAGTATTTGGCATGTCAGGATGGAGAATGATATGAGGTACATCTGTATCCGAAATGGGTTCCATCATGATGGGTAGAATGGTGGGGTAAGGCATCATGAGATTTTGAGTGCGAGCTCACACCCACTTAAGATAAGGCTCCAAAGGGATAAAGTTCTTATGCCCCAGTGTCTTGCTATCCACTCTGTTCACCATGCCCCAAGCTCGGATGAACCTCCGACGGTACCCTTGAACATCATCCTTGTAGTTGAACATAATGCCTTGAACCAATACATCATGAGGACCATCCCTCCTAGCATACCCAAACTGCCACAACGCTAAACAAGGGTTATAAGTGATTCCTCCCCTAATGCCTAGGAGAGGGACATTAGGGAATTCCCTGCAGCGATCAATACTGGTAACATCTTCCACATATCGAGGACACTAGTGAATATTCAAATGCGTGAGAGACATCAACCTATCAGACCATCTTAAGCCTTATTCGTTCTTCATAATAGACCGGGATAGGTGCGAAATAAACCACATAGCCAACAGAGAAGTGCAACACATAAGGATTCCTCTTCTCTTTACAATGCGAGTGTGAAAAGAGTGCAGAATGTCTCTAAGCAAAGTAGGCACCGGATTATGAGACATGAAGATTTTGACCGCATTGACTTCTATGAGTTGGTTCGGATTAGGAAACAGTACCATCCCATAGATAAGAAGGGCCAATACCTCCTCAAAGGCTTGTAAGTCCAAAGTATCCCAAAAATAGTGAGCTTTTTCAAACAAAAACTTGGCTAGAAACCTTTTGATACCGCTTCTTGTTTCCCAATTTGCAACGACGTCAGACCATTATAAATATAGGGCTTGAGCAATTTCTTCAGGCTTTGGGTCTCTTTCCGTACTGTTGAAGGGTAAATGATTAAAAATAGGAACACTCAATAACTGAGTAAACTTTTCCATGGTAGGCACCAACTGGTAGTCGGGAAATGTAAAGCAGTAATGTAAAGGGTTAAAGAATTGGAAGAGAACTTTCACCATGTCTTCATTGGGGCTTGAGGTGATCAAACTGAGGAGTCGACCATGTCTTTTTAGTGAATGGGGAATTCTCAGGAACTCTTGATGCCAATTCCTTGAGTTGAGGAGGTACTCTTACAAGGTTGACTTGGATAGTATTTCTGCGAATGGGGGCTATGTCCTACAAAACAGACACAAAGATAAGTCTTAAAAGTCCTTGAAATGGCTCGTGTGATATGCCATGTTATGATGTTATGATGTTATGTACAAACAAATATATACAAACACACAAACAGATCCTTAGGATTAAGCTTGCATGGATTCCATAGGTAAGTACTCTGTTGAAGTATAGTTGGCCCAACCTATCCTATCAATAGTAACTGGGTTCTAGGGAATCTCAATATCACTGATCTTTCTTCACTGAGCATTGTTTCAGCGCAAGCCTCTTTATTGGCGACCAGAATATCTCGTAAGTCAGATCTCAATGAGTGTAGTATCGAGTATCAACCAACTTTGGATTGTACCAAAGTTGGCTATCTCACTACTTCCTAATGGACAAGTTGGTTCAATTAAAGGTTCTAAGGTCAGTTGATGCTTCATGATACCACACAGCGGCCCCGTATTCTCCTTGACTACTCAAGGGCTACCGGTACCAACAAATGTGTCACATCAATGTAGCTATCATTTCAACGGTGTCGGTATACCCCATACAATCCCCACGATCTATTGCTACTTACCTAAAAGGTGTCCTAGATCCGAGTGTAGGATTTATAGTAATAACCCAAACAACCCTCCAAGGATAAAGCATACAGAGCAAGCAATTAAAACAGTTTAAAATGAACTAACTCTTAAGGTAACCCCACTTTATATCCCTAGCAGAGTCGTCAGTTCTGTGATACAGTGGTAGAACCGATTGTTATACTATTTTTGCGTTTATGTTTACAAATGTTGCGGTAAGAAAGAGTTGCCACCAACTTTTCTTTTATCCAAATTAAGGAAAGGGTGAAAAGAACAGAAAAAGACCTTTTCGAGAATTTTCTGAGTAAGGGGGGTAGATTGTGGAAAGGGAAGGTGTTAGCACCTTTTCCATCCGTAGTTTTCTATGAGATCTTAGATGCTTAGCTCATTTTTCGAAATAACTTGTTGTGATACGGTGGGAGAACTGACTTGAGGTTTTGCACTTTGTGTTTGCAAATGTTTCGATTTAGCAAGAGTCGCCACCGACTTTTATTTTATCCAAAAGGAAAGGTCAAAAAGCACAGGAAAGACCTTTGAGATGTTTTCTTGAGTTCGGGGGGTAGATTATGAAAAGGGAAGGTGCTAGAACCATTTTCATCCATGGTTATCCATGGGCTCTTAGTTACTTGTTTAGATCACTTGCTTTTCTTTTACAATTGTTTGAAATGGTGCTTTGTGTGGTTTTGAAAGTATTTTGAAAAGAGGCCATCGTTTTGGCAATCTTTGTAATGATTCTTGTTCGTAAGAATGTATACAAAGATGTTTGTCTTTTGAAAAATGTTTCAATGTTTTGAAAGTTGTTTGAAAAATGTTTTGAAATGTGTGTGTTTTTGAAATTAGCAAGGATTGTTTGCAAATTGACCAAGTAACTAGAAGCTTATCTACCTACTCAAAAGTCTTTCTTATACATTTTTTATTCCTTTGACATTGTTGACCTACTATTGTTTTAGTAGACAACCCTATCTTTGGATGTTAAACGGGACGGGCGTGGGTCATCGTATGACCATGATAGCAATGGTGCCAAGTATCTTAGCAAGTTTTAGGGACTAAGATCATTTGTATAGGCAACCTTTTGATAGCGTCATCGAGGGACTATGATCTTTTGTTTTGTTTTGCCAAGATACCTAGCATGCATACCATGACCATTTTGTTTAGGCAACCAAGTGGGTGAAACCCTAGAGGTGCTTGTGTGCAATGTGTTGTCATTTTCATGCATTTTTGTCTTGCATTAGGTCATGCTATTTGTTTGATTTTTTGTCTTATCATACAAAACCCTAGTTTTTACTAAACATGGATATAATGCGATAAATTGCGTAAAGTAAATCTAAGCTATTACAACAATATTATGGGAGGGGGGATACAAGTTTTGAATGGGGGATATTTGCACAAAATAAAACCCTAATTTACTATTACAACCCAATTGAATTTATTGTACAAATAAATAAATAAACAAGTATTTAAATATGCAATAATATGTATTTATGCAAAAATGTTTTGTAATTAATTTTATGTATGATAAAAATAAATTATTTAAGTCCTAAAAAATAAGAAAAAATTATATTGTTATTTTTGAAAGGGGAAACCCTAATTTTGTTTTAAAAGAAAATATGTTTTCTATTATTATTTTATTCATTTTTTTGTTTAAGAATAATAATAATAATATTATGTACCAATATTAAAAATTAAATATGTATGAAAAATAAATGTTTAATGTGTATAAAATAATGAAATAAAATATTAAGTATTTTATTATTATTTACAAGTTTATTTAAGAAAATAAATTCTATAAACCTAATAAACTATTTTTATGCCAAAAAATAATAAAAATAATAAAATAAAATGCAAACAATTAAAAAAATATTTTTGAGATTTTTTATTGTTCAGAAAAAATAATCAAGTCAATAAACACAAAAATAAAAAAAATAAAATATGAAAAATAACAAAATATGCCAAGGGGGTGCAAATAGGAAACATGGGGGTGTGAAAAGCAACAGGCCCAAGGCGCCAGGCCCAACCAGCCTTTGTCCCTGACCTCGAACCAACATCCAAACGCGTGTTTTGCCTTCAAATCCTGTTCTTGCTCATGCTTGCATAAAATCAAAAACTCATTGTCATATCCCAATTTTTGACCTAAGATCCCATTTTTACTTTTTTTCATTTTTATACAGAAGTCAAGGTCACTAAATACGGTCGGTTTTAACGTCTCACCTTCGAGCTTTGACTATGCGAAGATTGTCAAGTGTTTTGAACATTTTTAGCATACGTATCACTAATTTCTAATCGCATACAAATGTGTATGTTCATGTTTTCTTTTGTGTCATATGCAGAGACAGGTCTGAATCAAGAGCATCAGGTGTCGCGCCTCAATTAAGGTTTTGAGTCTCCCAAGCCAAAATTACGGTTGATTATGGACTCTCGAAGACTGATTCATCAAGGCACAACTGTCGCCCCCCATTTTTTGCCCCTTCACTTTTTTCGACTGTTGCATATTTTGTCGTTAATTTGAAAAATCGATCATTTCGCATACTTTCTTGTTTTTATTCATCATTTTAATTTCTATTTAAAAAAAATAATTAAAATAGTTTATCATTCACATTTTCTATCATATTTCTAATGAAATTTTTTAGTTCAAAAATCTGTCTTATTATATTTTTTTTTTTTATCTATTTCTATTTCTTTTAGATATTACTAACTATTTTCTCTTTTTCTCATTATTGTTATTATTATTAGTATCTTTATTGCATTTTATTATTTCATCTTTTATTGTTACTAATTATTTTTATTTTGTTCTCATTATTGTTATTATCATTGTTGCATTTTATTATTTTATTTTATTTATTGTTACTAATACTTTTTTTCTTCTTCTTATATTATTGTTACTATTATGTTATTATTTGTTTGTTTTTGTCAAAAATAGAGAAAGAAAATTACAAGTTACCACAACAATTTTACACAAGTGTTTGTACAAGAAAACAAAAATCTAAACCCAAAGCTAAGACTTGTTCTTGATCCGAAATTCTGCCCAAATAATGCCGAAAGTATGCTGCACTACTGTTCCAAAAGTATGCTGCAATGCTGCCCAAAACCTGTGAAGTCATGTTGCTGCACCCTGCTACTGCTTTGATGTAAAATCTGCACCACAACTTGCCAAAAACCTGTCCAAGAACAGTCCAAATGTAGCACAAAAGTGGAAAAATATAAAAACTGCATCAAAAGGATTGAAATAAGGCATTGCATTCGTTCATGTTTTCAACAACCTTTTCCCCCCAAAATTTCATTTTTTCTTCTCTCTATAAACTTAGACTTGGTTAACAGAAAAAGGGGGGAGAAAATTCACAAAGAATCACACACAAAAAACACTTATTGTAACCTGTTACAAAACTCACCACTCACCAATTTTGCCTGCAACTTTACTCCCTATATCTCAGTCACCATTTCACAGAGAAAAAAAAGACAAAAAACCATTCTTGAACTCTCACTAAAAAAATTCACACGCACTAGAAAAAATTAGAGAAAAATTACCTCAACTCCAACTACAAAATACTCAACCTGCAAAACACAAACCTATGAACTTCATAAACTCTCTATATCGCACAAAACCGCATCCAACACCTATGACTCTGTAACTTATCATAACACACCAATGTTCAAAAGGAAGAAGCAGACGATAACGCGTAGAAAATATTCGAATACCATACCTGACCTTGAAGACCCCTCGGAGGAACTCCGATTTGGTACTTTTTCTAAATCTCCATTCATACTCCATATTTACCTTCAATCTATTTGCATTTATTCGTGACATTAAGTTGTTGTTACTGCACAAACCACTATGTTATTGTTGTTATTCCAAAATCATGAGAGTCAGAAAAAAAACTGATGGATCCATGAGTGAAACCGATTGAAACGAGAATAAAGTTTGTTGTTGTTGTTCCGTGAGAAAAGAAAGCCAAGAGTTGAGTTAAAATACCGAGCAAACAAATAATTGTTGCTGTTTTTCGGATTGAGATACAGAGGAAGCAGAAAAAATCGCTTTATTTTGAGAATAGAGGGAGTATGAAAACGATGAACAAAAGGAGTATGGGAAATGGAACGAGAGAATGAGAGAAGATAGGAAAACTTTTTTTGTACGGTTATGAGAGAAGAACAGAGTTGGAAAGTTTGAGAAAGAAGAGCGATTACAGCGTGTGATTAGAAAGAGAGAGACTACAATTTTGTTTTAATTGTTGTTTAAGTTGGGAATAAAGTCATTAATTAGAATAACAAAATAATTGGCTTTTCCTCTTCTCTATGATGGCCGCGGCGCCCTCACTTTTCATTAGGGTTTACGAAACTTTCTCCATTCCTCTTAAAACTCAAACCGGGTTTGGGCCTATTTTTTGGCCCAACCCATTTCATAATTTATACCTTTTGTATTAATGCAAACCCAGAAATACATGAATGATTAAGTGGTGCAACGGTTGAGGTAGTGGCCTACAAATGTGAGGACCCGAGTTCGAGACCCCCAGGGAACATTTTTTCATTTTTTTCAATTTTCTCCAACCTTCCCCTCTTCAAATTTCGTTGGGCCTTGTATTCACAACCCAACCCATCTTTCTCCAAACACACCTGTTTTTTTTTTCCTTTCATTCAAAAAAACCATAAAAAAAACATGTTTGGACCTCAGCCCCTTAGGCCCAGCGAATTTTAATACCCACACCCTAATTTTATATTTCTCACCTTTTTTATAATTAATCTAGTTTAGATCTAATTTAGTAATTTTAGAATATTAATTTATTTTAGATTTAATTTATTAACTTTAGAATTTTAAGTTAGTAATTTTATAATTTTAATTTAGTTTTAGTTATTAACTTTAAAAATCCTGTTTAGTTTAGTTAGAAATTTTAGAATTTAAGTTTAGTTTACTTAGTAAACTTTAGAATTTTGTTTTGTTTTAGTTTTATTTTAGTAACTTTAGGATTTTATTTCATTTAGATTTGACTTAGTAAATTTTAGAATTTTATTTGTTTTAGTTTTGACTTAGTAAACTTTAGAATTTTATTTTGTTTTAGTTTTAGTAACTTTAGGATTTTATTTGTTTTAGTTTTGACTTAGTAAACTTTAGAATTTTATTTTGCTTTAGTTTTATTTTAGTAACTTTAGGGTTTTATTTCATTTAGATTTGACTTAGTAAATTTTAGAATTTTATTTGTTTTAGTTTTGACTTAGTAAACTTTAGAATTTTATTTTGTTTTAGTTTTAGTAACTTTAGGATTTTATTTGTTTTAGTTTTGACTTAGTAAACTTTAGAATTTTATTTTGTTTTAGTTTTATTTTAGTAACTTTAGGGTTTTATTTCATTTAGATTTGACTTAGTAAATTTTAGAATTTTATTTGTTTTAGTTTTAATTTAGTAAACTTTAGAATTTTATTTGATTTTATTTAAGTTAACTTTAAAATTTTAGTTGTTTAGAATTAGTTTAATATTCTTTTAGAATTTTATTTGATTTAGATTTAGTTTAGTAATTTTGGAACTTTTTTGTTTTAGATTAGCAACCTTGGAATTTTTATTTAGTTTAGATCTAATTTTCTAATATTAAAATTTTAATTTAGTTTAGATCTAGCGTAGCAATTTTAGAATTATTTTTATAACTTTAGATAACAAATGAGTTTAGAATTATTTTAATAAGTAATCTTATAATTTTGACTTAGATAATTAGTTCCCTTTTCTTTTATTTAAATATCTTTGTCATTTTAATTTCTCGATGCTTTTGGTCATTAATCTGTTTCATTAGATTTGTTTTCTTGTGAATTTTTGAATGCTTATACTTTGTGAATTCATCTTATTTTACTTGCTCGATTTAATCCAAGGGAATTGTCTAATTTTTTTGTCGACTTTATGTCATAAAAAAAAAACATCGTGCGAATACCCTCAGTCATTAAAAACATAGGATAATTTTCCCAAATATCCAATTTCTTCAAAAACTCACACCTTTTAAGTCAAAACTTCGACATTAGGTCTTCGTATCTTCAAAAAAACTCGTCCATACCCATTTTCGGCCAAAACAATTTATTTTTAATCAAACAAACATTTTAATAAACAAATATTTCAAAAGGTTCCTATAGAATACTATAGATACATTGGGTGCTAATACCTTCCCATTGTATAACCAACCCCCGAACCATAGACCTCTTTTCAAAAAACGCCTTGTATTTTCATTACTTTTAAAAGTATTATTTACATTGCATACTTTAGGGTTTTATTTCGCTCTTTCCCCTTTTCCCTTGGAAATAATAAAGCGCGGTTGGCGACTCTTGCTTTTGTGAGACGAATTAATTAATAGTTCGATCTCCGATTTACCCCGCTACATTTTTTATCGCTACACTCATAACACAAAAAATGTAGCTTATGAACTCACGATTCCAATGATATAAAATTCATGACCTTACTCTCAAAGATCAGGGAGAATTTTAATGGCCCTAATTTCTGACCTAGTTTTTTCAGCATGTTCAACAACCAAATACTCTTAGCTCAGTTAATATAAATGGAAAGTATGAACAACCTAATTTCTGATTTTTAGGTCAACTGTCCAATTGACTGGTCAAAAATGTGATTCCAGGCTTGAAACTTGGTATGAACAATCTTAGGGGTCCAAAATGGTGTATGAAAGTCACATGAAGCATTGATGGTCCAAAAATCCTTGTTCAAACTTAAACCCTAATTTCAGGTTATCAGTGCAAGGAGATGTCTTGAGCTGAGCAAACCTTAATCTGGTCTTGAATCCAAAAAGTCTTGTGAGGGGAAATCTTGATAAAATGAGAGGGCAAATTTTGGGGTACAACAACTGTCAGCTGCCCCTGTTCAATCTTCTTGAACCTGAAGAGTTAGATTGGCGAGTTTTGCCGTTCGTGACTCGAAGGTAAAAGATGATTGGACACTAGAGTGCCCGTAAATTTGCACTCGTCAAATTGTAGTTGAGGGAATGAGCTTAAAGATGCCATTTAGAGAGGTGATAGAATCTTGTTGGAGATGGGCTTGTATATGCCATCCAAGAATGTTTGTTATAAGTCAAGAGGATGAGTATCAGAATGGTGTCCGTATCTGGAACGTATCTGAACTGTATCTGGAGACTGAATCTGTATGAGCAAGGGAATAACAGACGTGTCTGGAGCGTATCCGAGCTGTAACTATACTTGAATCTGAATGAATAACAGAATGACTTCCGTGTCTGGAGTGTATTTGTATTGTATCTGAGTCTGGAATTTGAATAAGCGACAGAATGGCATCCGCGTCTGGAGCGTCTATGGGCTGGGGAAAAAGTCAAAATAAGTGACATAATGGCATCCGTGTTTGGGGCGTATCTGGACTGAATCTTGACTTGAAATCTGAATAAGTATCAGAATGGCATCCGTGTCTGGAGTGTATCCGTACTGCATCTGAAATCTGAATCTGAATGGGCAACAAAATGACTTCCGTGTCTAGAGTGTATCCGTGCTGTATCTGAATCGGAAAACTGAATAAGGGCCAGAATGGCATCCGTGTCTGGAGCGTATCTGAACTAGAATCTGAATAAGTGACAGAATGACTTCCGTGTCTGGAGTGTATCTAAACTGTATCTTGACCTTGAATTTTGAATGAGTAATAGAATGACTTCCGTGTCTGGAGTGTATCTTTACTGTATCTTGACCTTAAATTCTGAATGAGTAATAGAATGACTTCCGTGTCTGGACTGTATCTTTACTGTATCTGAAATCTTTGAGTATTGTTAATGATAGCTATTAATCTTATCCTGAAAAGGGTAAAATGTTAGCTGAAACACAAAGTTATGTTGCATGAAATGCATGATGCAATATATGTGCTTTATCCATGTTTATGATATATGAATGTAATGTATGCGCATGTAAGCCGATTTGCTATCTTGCTGAGGAAAATAAAATCCTTGATAGTTAGGGATAATGAAATCCTTGACCACTGACGGGGAAAATAAATCCTTGACCGCTGCTGGAGATTCAAAATCTTTGATTGCTAAGGATGAGGAATCTTGGGCGATTGTTGGAGATTAAAAAATCCTTGACAACTTCTGTGGGGATATAAGGATCCTTTATGTCTTGAAGTTGCAGTATTGACAAAATCTGTTGTGAGAGTAATGCCAAACTGCTGGAGAAATCTGCTTGGGAAATCTAGAGAACCTTGATGACTTCTACTGGGGGTAACACAATGGGAAACCTTACTCCGCTGGGGAATAGAGAAAACTCTGAGGACTTCTGTGGGGAATTAAGAATGAGAATCTTCATTCTGGCGACCTCACTGGGGAATAATAAAGCTCTGCGGGGAAGAAGGCTTTCTGATGGGGAGTAGGTTCAAGAGTTTGGGTTGTATGCCCCTCTACTGGGGAATTATCCTAGGCTGGGGAGAGACAAAAGTTAATTGTTATCTGGCTAATTCTCAGACTTCAAGACAACTTGTTGGGGAAATTGGGTGGTTTCCGCTGAGGATTGATAGTTAGAAATTTGACTCCACTGGGGAATGAAGGTTTCAGCTTCACTGGGGATCTGTGGTTCAAAGTTTTGGCTCCGCTGGGGATTGGGAGTTTGAAGTTCCAACTCTGATGGGGATTTAAAGGGTTTGGAATTTTATCTCCGCCGGGGATCTAGATGATGTACAGTAGGGATTGCTCATGGAATAGCCGAAAGACATTTTACTATCCTTTCAACCTGTCAGTAATTGTTCTTTTCCACTTTGTTTATTTGTAAACAGTAATTATGTTCAAATGCATATGTTCACTAATGAATCATTGGACGTTTTTGCAAATAAAACACAAGTGT